CCCCCCGCCCCAGAATCTTTCAATATTGGTGGTAAGATTTCTAACACAGGACTGACACAGTGGCTACTCAAGAGACTGATATCTGAGGATCATGGTTCAAAGCCAGCTCCAGCCAGGAAAGTCTGTGAGGACTCTTACCTCCAGTGAACCACCAAAAAGTAGAGCTGTGGTTCAAGTGGTAGAGCACCAGCCTTGAATAAAAAACTAAGGGACAGTGCCCAGGCTCTGAGTTCAAGCCCCAGAAATGTCAAATGAAAAAAAATTGAGGGAGGCTGGGAAGGTGACTCAGTGGTAAAGTGCTTGCCTTGCATGCATGAGGCCCTGGGCTCAATTCCTCAGCACCACATAAGCAGAAAAAGTCAGAAGTGGCACCATGGCTCAAGTGGTAGAGCACTAACCTTGAGCTGAAGAGCTGAGGGACAGCGCCCAGGCCAAGAGTTCAGGCCCCACGACTGACAATAAAAAGAAGAAAGAAAGACAGACAGACAGAAAGACAGACAAAAGAAGGAAAGAAAGAAAAGGAAGAAAGAAAGAAAGAGAGCCGGGCGCTGGTGGCTCACGCCTGTAATCCTAGCTACTCAGGAGGCTGAGATCTGAGGATCGTGGTTCAAAGCCAGCCCGGGCAGGAGAGACCATGAGACTCCTATCTCCAATAAACCACCAGAAAACCGGAAGTGGCGCTGTAGCTCAAGTGGTAGAGCGCTCGCCTTGAGCTGAAGAGCTGAGGGACAGTGCCCAGGCCCAGAGTTCAAGCCCCACGACTGACAAAAAATAAATAAAGCTAGTTCAGAGTCCTAGGAGCCTGGGCTCAGGTGCTGGGGGGTCGGGGGGGGGGGGGAGAGGGGAGGAAATACCAGACTCAAATTGCAGAGTTTCAGTAGCTTTTCAGGCCTACACTTTTTTTGGTCAGTTTTGGGGCTTGAACTCTGGGCCTGGGCAGTGACCCTCAGCCCTTCAGCTCAAGGATAGCACTTTACCACTTAAGCCACAGCACCACTCCACTTATTGGAGGTAAGAGTCTCCCGGACTTTTGTGCCCGGGCTGGCTTTGAACCTAGATCTTCAGGTCTCAGCCTCCTGAGTAGCTAGGATTACAGGCGTGAGCCACTGGCACCCAACTGATTCCTGCCTCTTGTTGGGAGCTACAGAACATACCACCCCCAGGTACTGATTGGAGGCCCCTGGGGACTGAGATCTTCGATGAAGATCTGGGGCTCTTTGTGGTCCCTGGGTGACCCCCACCCCCACCCCCAGACGCCGGGGTGCCGAGGCCCCGGCAGGATCGGGGTCCCAGCTGTATGTAAATGGCGCCATCTGTGCCGCCGCCGCGCCCCGCCCCCTGGGCCGCAGCTGGGGCGGCCGTTTGGCCTCCGGAAGGTGTGAGCAGCAAATGTGCAGGAAGCTCCCGCAGCCACCGCCTCCCCGCCCCCCACCAATGGGGGAACTCCCCCCACCCCTCACGAAACCCCTTTAGTGCATCAGGACCACTGGGCAAATAAAGCCGGCTAGGAGCAGATGTTCCAAGCTCTGCCGAATGGGTCTGTGCCAGGGAAAAGCGGGTCCCGGAAGGAAACGTTTCAGTGCTTAGATCTGGTTAAGTTTAGGGGGCCGGTGGCATTTGTATGCGCTTGTGTCTTGTGGGCACAGTAATTGTTTAAATAGGAGAAAGCCAGTCTAGAATTTTCTCTTAATCCTGAGGATACTGGAGTGTGTGAGGACACTGTTTGTGGAAATGCCCAGACTCTTCCACATTCATTTCTTAGCCCCTCTTCCACACCTGCGGAACTGTGGCTGAAGTGGTAGAGTGCCAGCCTTGAGCAAAGAGCCAAGGAATGGCACCCAGGCCCTGAGATCAAGCCCCAGTGCCAGCACAGACACACACAGACACACACACACACACGCACACACACACACACGCACACACACACACACAAACTAAGGGGAAAAAAATCCAGAATTCCAGTTTCTAGTTGGGCGCAGTGATGCACTTTTGTAGTCCAGCCTATTTAGGAGGCTGGGGCAGGATTTCTGGACAACACAGAGAGATCAGATTTCCAGAAGAAGAAAAAAATATAGCTGGAGCTCCCAGGAGCCCTGAGTGCAGGCATCATTTTATTTCCAGGGCAACTACCCATCTTACAGCCTGGTCCTCAGCTGTTCACGTACAGGGAAGCCCCAGCCAGAGAGGGGCACACACTTCTTGCGAATCACACAGCCATCAGGGAAGATACAGCTGAGCAGAGGCCCAGATTGCCAGATTCAAAACCAGCCCTGCTCCACCAAAGCACCACATTCTGTGCCTTCCAGATGTTGACCCGGCCGGCGCCCCATCTGGACACTCTGTGGACACAGGGGTGTGGCATCTGGGATGCACTTTATTGTACATGTGGCTGGTCTGGGCGCACTGATGCCTGGGGACCAGGCTGTGAGTCTGAGGAGGCCCAAGGATCAGGGCTGCTTGGAGCGAGGCCACAAGCGGCTGGTTAGAGAGCCGAAGAAGAGGTTCTGTTTGGTGGACTTGGAGAGCTCGGCCAGGCGCTGCTGTTCCTCCTGGGTTGGGGAAAAAGAGGAGGGTCAGCCCTGCCCCGGGCAGGGGGAAGCCTTCTTTGTACTTTTCCCTCTCCTCAAACAAGGCAGCAGCCTTGCACAGAAGGCCCCAGACCTCACAACTTCAATCTGGTCGTCAGCAAGAGCTAGCTCATTTGGGCATTGGTGGCTCAACTCTGTCATCCTAGCTACTCAGAGGCTGAGATCTGAGGATCCCAGTTCAAAGCCAGCCTGGGCAGGAAAGTCTGTGAGATTCTTATCTCCAGTGAACCACCAGAAAACTGGGAGTTGAGCTGTGGTTCAAAGAATGCTAGCTTTGAGTTAAAGAGCTCAGGGACAGCTCCTAAGCCCTGAGTTCAAGCCCCACAACTGACAAAAAATAAATAAAGCTAGTTCAGAGTCCTAGGAGCCTGGGCTCAGGTGCTGGGGGGTCGGGGGGGGGGTGAGAGGGGAGGAAATACCAGACTCAAATTGCAGAGTTTCAGTAGCTTTTCAGGCCTACACTTTTTTTGGTCAGTTTTGGGGCTTGAACTCTGGGCCTGGGCAGTGACCCTCAGCCCTTCAGCTCAAGGATAGCACTTTACCACTTAAGCCACAGCACCACTCCACTTATTGGAGGTAAGAGTCTCCCGGACTTTTGTGCCCGGGCTGGCTTTGAACCTAGATCTTCAGGTCTCAGCCTCCTGAGTAGCTAGGATTACAGGCGTGAGCCACTGGCACCCAACTGATTCCTGCCTCTTGTTGGGAGCTACAGAACATACCACCCCCAGGTACTGATTGGGGGCCCCAGAAGAGGATCCGCTCAGGGCCACACACACAGCTGCTGCTGGCCCCAGGGCTGACCTGCTCAAGGCGGCTCTGCCGCTGCTTGAAGGCCTCCAGCGGGTCGTCCTCCAGGGCATAGTGCTCCAGCACGGTCCGCACATCCTCCACTTGGTTCAGGGCAATTGCTGTGGGTGCAATGGGATGGTGAGCTGGGCCCAAGGCCCAGGGAGACAGGCCACAGGCCCAGGTCAGCCCTTTCCTGGGTGCTTCTCAATGCTTGAAAGTCCCCACTCCCCAATAGTTCCAGGGTAGCTCCTAAACACTTCCGAGGAGTGCCCAGACATTCCAGGTAAGCCCTGGAAGATTCCAGAAGACTCATGGACTTCCTCTCCTTCACAGGAAGGATGGGCTGCTGTCCCGAGGGCCTGGGGCTCGGGAGAGGCCAGAGGCCGGGGTGAGCCTTACTCTTGAGGAAGGCTGACAGGTCCAGCAAGACCCGGTCGTCCGAGTTGCCGTCCCAGGGCCGCAGGGCAACGCCGTTGTAGGGCTGGAGTCGGAAGGCCTCCTTCTTGCAGTCCACGACCACCACACGGGCTGGGTCCCGATTCAGACAGGAAATGTCCTACATGTGGGAGACAAATCGGGTCTCTGTCTGTGCCCCCTCCCTGCCCTGCAGGGAACACACAGAGGCAGACAGACAGACAGACACGCAGTACCATGCCCACTGGTCACTGTGGTGGGTTCTCTGTAAGTTTGGCACGAGTGACCACTGCAATTCCCCTGATGGCCGGTCACACAGATGCCTAAAGCTGGGGCCCTCACAGGGGGAACCCCTAGCTTCTCCAGGGACAGTGTGACCATTGGCAGGCTCAACCTGCACTCCAAGTGACTAAAATCTCTTACTTTGAGGTCCACAGCAACATGCAAGAGTGACCCAATGAGACACAAGGGCCTTAGGGAAGGGCAGGTCCCGCTGAGCCCTCAACAAGGCAGACCCCAGGGGCTGGGAAGGTGGCTCAGTGGTAGAGCGCTTGCCTTGCATGCCTGAAGCCCTGGGTTTTATTCCTCAGCACCACATAAGCAAAAAGAAAAAAGCCTGAAGTGGCGCTGTGGCTCAAGTGGTAGAGTGCTAGCCTTGAGCTGAAGAGCTGAGGGACAGCGCCCAGGCCCAGAGTTCAGGCCCCATGACC